ACTTAGATTCTAGGCACCCCTCGAGAAACTCGGGACACCTCTGAGGAAACGTCAGCTCTTCCTTTTCGGTGCGCAGTTGTTGTTTGGTCTCTCCACCATCCCCACTATTCCTACACCCCACAACAGAGCCATCAGCATCCCTGGATCTTACAGCTGCACCTCCAGGAATGTAATATATCTCATCCAATGCACCAAATGCCCTGATGGACAATACGTAGGAGAGACCAAACAACAAATGCGCACCAGAATGAATGCACACCGGAAATCTATCAAAGACAGCAATACCCAATTACCATTGGGGGCACATTTTTCCAAGAAAACCACTCTCTCTCCAATCTCTCAGTCCTGATCCTCAAAGGAAACGTACAAACCACTTCCCAGAGACGAGCCTACGAACTCCACTTCATCAACCTCCTGGACACTAAAACTAAAAATCACGGACTAAATATAGACATTGGATTTATGACACATTATAACCTGCCTGACATCTGACTCCCCAGGTATCTCTCCACTATTCATCCCCCTTCTCTCTCCCGCCCCCCCGCCCCGCCTGTCCCTCACTCATTGACTCCTCAATCTACATTTTCACTGACTGCCTGTCCTGTGTGCAGCCCAGCCCAGCCGCTGGCTTCTTTACTTGTCATTCCATCCAGGAAGAGCACACACCGACTGCTGAAACTTCCTTAGCCTGACGAAGGGTTTTTGAATCTGAAAGCTTGCTTAAAAATTGTTTTCCAGCTATTTACGTTGGTCTAATAAAAAATATCAGATTCACCCAAAGACCCTTGTCTGCCTATGTCCTTAGACCAACACGGCTACAACCTACACCCCTACAGCAGTGACCTCAACTTAGATTCTAGGCACCCCTCGAGAAACTCCAGACGCCACTCAGGAAACGTCAGCTCTTCGCTTTCCCTTGGGTTTTTTTTTACTACAAAAATAGCCGAACAATTCTTTTCTTGCAAAGAACTCAGGAGAAACGCAAGGGGTCAGAACGGGTTTGACATTGCAGATTCCTACTTGAAATCTGTGGGTTTAACTTCTGCATCACTTCGCACCCCCCGTGTGTGTGATTCACGCGGGCATGGTGCGCTGTGAGTATGTAGGGGTTACCTGGCCAGTGGGTGGTTGCTGTGCGTGTGCCCACATGAGGACTACAGTTGTAATAGACCCCTGCGGGGAGGATGCGGTGTTATGTGCAGAGCGGCTGGGCTGTCACCATGCAGATACTTGTTTAATCAGACTGCTGCGCACATTAAAACCGGCCACTGGGAGGCAGCACGTCTTCACACACCTGCGTTTCGCTCCCTCGCAAAGGAGTCTCGCCAGTTCAGCACTGCTTCGGGCTGGATTCCCTGATCGTCTCCACACCCTTCTCTAAAGTCTTCAGATGATCTTGGAAGCTCAACAAGCCTGGCCCTGGCCAGTGCTCGAATGAGAAACCTCCTTGGAATCCCAGGGGTCAGTGATACAAACGAAGGAGTCATAACTATGTGCTTGGCCTACAGGGCTCCATTTACTCGAGCAGGGGTGTACGTTTGCAGCGGCACAAATTTGTGCTGTTACTTTGTGCCACCGTGCATGCCCATTCCTGTGGGTTTTGTAGAAGCTCACGTTGTCCAGCTGCTCCCTGTGCTGCAGCAGAAGGAGGGCTGGCTGGGGCACAGAGTGCCTCAGCGTGAGGGTAGCAGAAAGGTAGCTCCTACGCTGAGGCACCCTGTGCCCCAGCCAGCTGGGGAGTGGCACGTGCAGGTGGGGAAGCAGGCAGCTCCCACCTCCAGATTTGTCCAGTTGCATGCCATTTTGGCATGGTTTGAACACTTTTGTTTTATTCAGGTGATTTTGCTACCAAGAAATCCTGGTAACTAACTTGGCCCCCCCGGCACTACAAATTAGCATCACAGTGTGTGGTTTAATGTGCAACACGTGCAGTTTGTGGTGCTGCAAAAAGGTTTGCTGTGCCACAAAACACACAATACTGCACATCTGAATCCAGCTCAGGATGCCAGAGATACCGAGAAAATTCCCATACTTTATTCAGCTGGATATAAGCTGTCTGATGAGTGGGAATAAAATAAAGGCTTGTGGCTCATGAGCTGCCAACAAAAGACTTCCTCTTGGCATTTCAGAAGGAACAGAAGGGAGCTGTAGACCCCGCTCACCCAGACACTACAAACTGCAACTAAAAAACCCATCAGATGGCAGGTGTGTAGGCTTGCCATCTGCCTGAGCCGCTGATGAACAAGAGTGCCCCTTCTTCATGAAAGGCATCTGATAAATGTCCTAGTTTGCTGCCCTACCTTAAAATTAACTTGATTCATATATGATTTACAGTTGCTTGGATCAAAATTATAGGAGAATTATCTTCATATATTATTCTTCACTTTCCTCTCCATCTTTCTGAATGTGCTACCTGCCTCCCTCTTACCCTTTGCCCTCACTACAGTCCTTTACAGCACCCTCAGCCAAGACAAGCTTGGAAGGCCTCCTCCTCATGAATGGTAGAGGCATTTGCAAGTGCAGCACACAATGGGCTCATTTTGTTATCCATGAAAAATCAGATGGTTACTCACACTGGACCCCTGTCATGTAAAACGTGTGCCTCCCACCAGAGCTGGTTTAGTGCCTCTTTGAGTTTAACAGCTCAGGGGCAGAGTTCTTGGCCTTCAAGATCTCCAGCTGTTTCTGCTGATGAAGCTAGTGACATTCACAGCATCTTTACCTGCAAGTGCAACAGTGAGAGCAGATGTGGTTTGGCGGACATTTTGTTTTGAAGTTGAGTCAAGTCTTCAAATATTCAATGCTAATGTGTTTTAAAGTAGTGCCCTTTCTCTAAACTGCACATGGAGTTCAAAATGTATCCTTTTTCGGAGCATGGTTGGGGTGATGAAGTAGCTGTAATGGTCAGGAAATATGAGAGGCAAGGGTTTTTTTGGTGATTATCTTTGTGAGTATAACCTAAAACATTTTGAAGAACCTTCTTACAGGTTCCAGTGTAGAACGACATACAACAACCGGGGGTGGGGGTTTTCTTTTTATATTGTAGTCAGTTAATGTGAGATATTTAGGTGGTTCATTCAAAGACACTATTTTTCAGCTGGACTGTCCTTGCTGGATATAGGTAGTTTTCAGGTTGTTGAGGTGGGTGTCACAAGTCCTGACAACCTCCACCACAGAGCGCTGAGGGAATTAGCAGAGGTCATTGTGGGACCCCTGGCACGGCTTTATGAGCACTCGTGGTGCTCTGGGGTGGTGCTGGAGGACTGGAAAAGGGCCAATGTGGTTCCCATTTTCAAAAAAGGGAGGAAGGAACATCCAGGAAACTATAGGCCAGTTAGTTTTACCTCGATCCTGGGTAAGCTTTTTGAGAGAATTATCCTGGCGCATGTCCACGAGGGGTCAGCAGGGGAGGTTATGCTTAGGGGCAACCAACATGGGTTCATTAGAGGTGGGTCCTGTCAGACCAACCTGGTGGCCTTCTATGACCAGGTCACAAAATCCTTAGACGCAGGGGTAGCAGTGGACGTAGTCTTTCTGGACTTCAGGAAGGCCTTCGACACTGTTTCTCACCCCATGCTCATTAAAAAACTAGGGGACTGTGGCGTCGATACCTACACAGTCAAATGGGTCACTAACTGGCTGGAGGGCCACACCCAGAGATGGTGGATGGGTCATTTTTGACCTGGAGTGATGTGGGCAGTGGGGTTCCCCAGGGCTTGGTCCTCGGACCTGCGCTGTTCAGCATCTTGATCAGGGACTTGGACAAGGGGGTAAAGAGCACCCTATTCAAATTTGTTGATGACACTAAGATGTGGGGGGATGTGGGCATGCTAGAAGGCTGCAATTGGACCTAGACAGGTTGCAGGGGTGGGCGGATGAGAACAGGATGGGTTTCAACCCTGACAAGTGCAAGGTGCTGCACCTGGGGAGGAAGAACCAGCAGCATACCTACAGGTTGGGGAACTCCCTTCTCGTCAGTGCAGAGGCAGAAAAGGATCTTGGAATCATTATTGATGCCAAAATGAACATGGGCCGACAGTGTGGGGACGCGGTCAGGAAGGCCACCTGCACCTTGTCATGCATCCACAGATGCATCTCGAGCAGGTCCAAGGAGGTGATCCTCCCCATCTATGCAGCACTGGTCAGGCTGCAGTTGAAGCCCTGCATCTAGTTCTGGGTTCAGAGGAGGGCCACCCACATGATCAGGGGGCAGCAGGGCAGGCCCTATGAGGAGAGGCTAAGGGACCTGAACCTGTTCAGCCCCACAAGAGAAGGGGGGGGGGGTCTAGTGGCCTGTTACAAACTAGTCAGAGGGGATGAGCAGGTATTGGGGGAGTCCCTGTTCCCCCCAGCACTACCAGGAGTGACTAGAAATAACGGTCACAAGCTGGCAGAGGGTAGATTCAGGCTAGACATCAGGAGGTGCTACTTCACTGTCAGGGCAGCTAGGATCTGGAACCAACTTCCAGGAGAAGTGGTGCTGGCTCCTACCCTGGGGGTCTTTAAGAGGAGGTTAGATGAACACCTTGCCGGGGTCGTTTGACCCCAGTACTCTTTCCTGCCATGGCAGGGGGTCGGACTTGATGATCTGCTCAGGTCCCTTCTGATCCTACCAACTATGAAACTACGAAACAATAGACTTCCATTGCACCTTTTTAAAACCACTTTAAGAAACCCACGCACCCATTACAATTCGTTCTTGGCTGGAGGTGATGTTCCAGGCGAAGAATGGACTGTCTCACCAGACTCGCCCCTGAACCTGCTCCTGACCTATTCCCTCAGGGAAATACTCTGTACAGTTCAACAGAGAAAAGGTAAGGGGAGAGAGCGAAAGACCCATTGCGTCGCAGAAATACTCTGTACCAAATGCGCCTATGTCACAAAAATTGTTCCCTTGGGCAGAGTTGCCTCCCTTCGGCCTGACTCTGCAGGGAATAGTGAGATATGAGGGTGTCTCTTGTGATCCATCCTCCGTGTGCTGGCAGGGAGGGTTTTTGCACCGCCCTCCCGTGTGAGTGTCTCGCCGTGCCTCTGCAGGGCGCAGTGATACACCGCGGTGTCTGCCAGCTCCAGGACGCTGATGTTTAAAGCGGTGGCGCTGTCACTGACCTGGGACGAAAACCTGTCCTCGGCAAAAGGTGCGTTATCACTGGCAGCGCTGTAGTCCTTCGTTCCCCTCCGCAGGATGTACTGCAGCGTTTGGTTCGTGTGCTGGCGGTACCAGTACAGATAGTAACCAAGACTACTGCTGGTTTTGTAGTTACAGCGGAGTGTCACGACATCTCCTTCTGCTGCAGTCACCTGAGGTTTTTCGGGATGGACCGTATCGCCCCGCACCGCCTCTGCAAACAGTCAGTAACACAGGAGAGAGACAGGTTGGAGTGAAAAGTTCTAGGGACCTGGATGTGCAGAGAGCGACTGAGGACAGACAGTGCCCCGAGTAATTGGACAGTGAGAGCGGAAAGGCTCGGTGACAGTGAGGGAGAGAGAAATGGGGAAACTGCTGAGGGAAGGTGAGGTAGGACGGTGAAGTTGGGTTTTGGTCACTGTCTCAGAGCGGGATACAAGTCCGTTCGCACCTACAGCTCGTGTGACCAAAACGAAAGCGCCAGTTACCTGGGTAGAGAGCGGCTAGAGCAAGGCTCAGAATCAAACACGTCTCCATTGCTGAAGCAGAGCGGAGCCTGCTCCGAGTTTCACAAGGAAGGACCCACTCGGGTGCCAACCTCTCAGACTTTGGCTGAATGTTGCAAGCGGCCCGGGTTCCTGCAGAAACCCCCGGGGAAGGGCAGATCCCGCCGGCCCTTCCTCCCCTCAAGTGGGGTGGGGAGGCGGGTTGTCCTCCCAGCTCCCTCTAGAACCGCCTCTCTTCCTTCCATCCGAAGACCCTGCGTGGGAGTGTATGAGCTCCATTTCCTGGACATGAAAAGCCATGCGAGGCAAGGGAGGAAAGGAGCATTACTTCTTTCCGTTCTTCAATTCTTGTTCGGTGAAGGCGGCTCCACTTCCAAAGCTGTTCCCATGGAAAAGTGCTTTCCAGTTTCATACCAAGTTCAGCTGGCAAAATGTAGACAGGTTTTCTACACAAGGGCAGGCGCGGACGTTTACATGCCTGGACAGAGACTCCGCTTTCCTTTGTCATTGTTCTGTGGAAACATATGGAAACCTCCGTCCCTGTCCCCTGCCTCGCCCACACCTCCTCTCGGCTTCCTTGGCAATTGAACCCACCACCAGCACTCTTGCAGGTCCTGGGACATTGGGGCATAAACTCAGACTTATCTGAAGCTGGTCTCGTCTGACAGCAGCCCCAGGAGACAGCATGGTGCCGCAGTAATATAAGGATAGCTTCCCGGAATGAAAAAGCT